CATAGGTGTGAATGTGAGTGTGCTTGGTTGTCTGTCTCTAAGTGTAGCCCTGTGATAGACTGGTGACCTGTCCAGGGTGTCCCCTGCCTTCACCCTACGTCGGATAGACTCCAGCCCCCCACGACCCTAGTGAGGATTAAGCGGTGTATAGATAATGGATGGATTGTTGTAACTCTTGTTGCTGTCAATCTCAATGGGACTCACCGGGTTAAATAAAGGTTAAATAAAAATAAAATAAAAGTAAAATTCACCTTATTATGTAAAGTGCATTGAGATGACTTGTGTTGTGAATTGGAGCTAAATAAATAAAAAGAATAAAACTGAATTGAATTGAAAATTGGTCTGCAGAGGCTCAAACCTACCATCCATCATCTATACACTATTTTATCTTCACTAGGGTCGTGGGGGGATGGAGTCTATCCCAGCTGACTCAGGGTGAAGGCAGGTTCACCTGGACAGGTCACCAGTCTATCACAGGGCTACACACAACCAAGTACACTCACATTCACACCTACGGACAACTTCTGCTCGCTGTTGAAGCTACACGAAAGCAAAAATTGGTCCCAGTGAAGGGTGTGGAGTCATTGGAAGATTATTTGATGTAAAATCAAAAACATTTAATAAGTCCGGTCACAGTTTTCAACATCTCAAATTAAACGCCAGTCACTGTGGCAGAATTTTCACAGATCTCAATATTTGGCACAAAAATCCGCTGCACCAACAAAAGTTTCTCTCTGATTTTGGGTGGAGTGACCCTTTAGGATCCTGAATTTAAAACGGAATATTCATTTTTAGAAAGCTGCCCTCAAACACTTCAAAACAAGTTCTCAACTTCGCTGATGTACTGGCGTCTCTTCAAGGCCACATTTATAGCATTTGCGCCTCTTTGTTGTAATTCAACTTTTGTTTTTTTTTTGAGCGCAGTTGTTCACTGACTTTACCAAAAGTACGCTCAGCAAAGTGCTCTTGACCGCCGAACAGCAGCTGCCTCCCACAGATCTTCATGGAGGTTTTTTGTGTGTGTGTTGGAATAAAGAGAAGCAGAGCAGGTTCAACTTGACTTCACGGCTCGACCTGGCACGTCAGCGCCGGCACGCGGGTCAGAGGTCAGAACTGATTTCATTATTTTAAGTGATGCCCTCCCGTTTATGGGCCGGCGTCCCAGCAGAGGCAGCCCAACTGGTTCCATGTGCTCACGTGAAAGCTTCAGCGGCTCTATTCATCATTTTGAGTTCTGCATTCGCCCCATGCTGTCACACAGGCTGGAAATACCGGTAATAATATTTTATCTCTCGCAGCGATATGATCTTAATGAAGCCCACTCTGCCAGAATGAACAGAGAATAAATACTTCTGCAAATTAAAGCTGTCTTCTTTCCCTAAACGTCCATATGCGTTCTCACTTTTTTTTTCTTTTTTAAACATAATTTCATAACTCCGCTTCCAATTAAATCACTCATCTTGTTCTGAAGTCACCTCTTATGAGCAATTAATCCAGAAACAATTAACCAGTGTCAACTCCATGCATCATATGAATGTCATAAGCCCCGAAAAAGCTTTGAAAAGCCTTTTTATGTGCTGCTGAAAGGAGCTGTGTGCTTCTGGAGGTTCTTATCTGATCACTAAGATTCTCAATCCTCACGGCTTACTTGGAGGGGGGGGGGCTTTGCTTTTATTTTTAAATTAAGGCTCACTTTCATGTGCTATAACACCATATAGGACGTCAGAAGCCGCCCCTATGCAGCCTATAACCTGTTTTATCTCAGTTCATCTCTGTGATGATGCTTTGAGCGTGTTTGTGTGTGTGTGTGATTGGCCTCTGGCAGCGTAGACAGGAGCCAGAATCACGCTGGGTTAATGATGCTGTCAGAGCGACGCTGAAGGAAGCAGCTGAGGGGACGGAGGGATAAGACAGCGGGCGAAGGCAGAAAGAAGGGAAGGAGACGGGACGCCGAAAATAGCTGCGCTTCAGCAAGTAATTATGCCATCGACACATTTATCGCCTTGTAGTAAACGTTCGGCATTTTTCACGACAGATTTACAACACTGGTCTACAACCATTCTGAGCTGATTTTGGATAATCGCAATGTGCTGAATCCAATTATTACACTGGTTTTGCTTAATGAGGTCCGAACTTTGATTTGTCGCCACATACAGTTGACTTGTATTTACCTTTACAAGTGTTTACGCTCATCAACTTTGGGATAATTTAGCTTATGAAACGGAAAATCTGATTTCATATGAGAAATACTAAAATAAATCAATCGCTAATGTCAAAAAATGTTATCGATTTAGTGGTAAAATAGATTTTTTTAGCTTGAGTTGGCATAAAAACCTGACCTGATACAGAAAAGCAGATGTCATTTTGGATTCAGCGTTGAAAATGTCCTAAATCAGTTTAAAAAATCCTAGACACCTTCAAAAAATTTATTTTTTTGTAACCCAGTGTAATCTAACAATGTGAGTTGGTTAAAGCTGCAAAACTCTGGACTCATAAATTGAATTTTAAAAAAGTTATTCTAAGATGTTCTGGTATAAATATCTGATCTTGTTTTTCTGATGTTGGACATTTTGGGCTTTTTTTCCCAACACATTGGGACAAGTAAACATTTGATCCTCTTCGAAACAGTGCCCACAGATGAAGATGATGTATTTAAATGACACCGTATTTATCACACCTTCAGATCCATAAACTTCAGGGGTTTCAGATTAGGGAGTGACAGGTTGAAGCTGTCTTATTAAAACCTCTCTGAGCTGCTGAAGAGCGGACTGCCGTCATGCCAGGATCTCAAGAGCTCTTCAAGGCCTTCAGGGAAAAAAAAAAAAAAGGTTGAGGATGCCAATGAGTCTGACAAAGGATTTTAAAAGATCCCCCCAATTATCTGAAGTAAATCAATCCACTGTGAAGAAAACCATCTACAAATGGAGAGCCAGTTTGTCCACCACTTGCCGCTCCAGCAAATTCAGCTTCAGGAGCAAACGTCTCAAACGATTTCATCACAGGAAGTGTACGTGACTCTTGTAGCTGCTGGTGTCAAAGTGCATGCAAACAGTGCACACACTTGACCCGCATGAAAGCAGAGCGAGGAAAAGGCCCGCTGCAGTCCAAAAAGAACAAGAGAGCAAAGCTGGAGTTTGCCAGTGAGAGCAGGCCGATAAAAGACGGAGCTGTCTGCCCACAGTAACAGCAGACATGTTTGGTTTATACCAGAAATAGGTTTTTCGGGAGAAGAACGTTTGGGATTGCTTTGCTGCCTCAGGGACTGGGCCGCTTCCATCACTGATTCGACTCTGATTTTCTTCTCATTAGGGTTAGGGTTATGGAATTAACAGGTCAAAGGACAGATTTCAGATCCCACCACAACGGTCAGCGCACGTCAGAAAACTCCTGAAACTGAAATCCTGCATCAAAGACGACTGAGTATGAAAGCAGAACAAAATTGTTTAAAAAGTTGTTTCTGCTCGAGGGGGCGACGCTAGCTTCAGACACCACAGCAGCACATTACATCGATTGATATTTCTGACCAACAATTAATGACATTTTTTTTATTTTCCTCGTTGTGGCATTCAAGTACATCAGCTTTACAGACACGACTTTGAGATCAAACGTTTGCGTGTCCAATTATGTCATAAAAGCTCAAAAATATTTCCAAGGGCAATGTCATTTTCTTTGAGTCCTTAGATGCACTTAGCCACGAGCACAAAATCATCCTTCACAAATGGAGCATTTACTTCCAACAGGCAAACCTTTTCATAAAACCACAGCTTAAAAATAGTTCAAATAAATAAAATGAAGACTTTGCGACTTGTCATTTATGCTTTAAGGATAAAGTTTGAGGCTGAATGAGCCACACACAGAAAACAAATCATCGTGTATTAAACATGGACTAAAATATGACTGCTTTGGGTCATTTCATGTGATTTATTGACACGAAGAAAATTATAAAACAGTTCCAATTGTCCTCCTGAAAGCACAACGACTGAAGAGAAAGTGAAAAGTTCTAGGAAAGTTTTCAGCGGGATGTTTATGGTTTTTTTTTTTGTTATAAAATGTTCTTAAAGGTAGGACAATGTTCTCTAACGACATTATAAAAATGTTTCATGACCGTTGTGCCCTAACGTTCTGAAAAAGTTTCACAAACATCACACTGAGAATTCATGAAAAACACTCGACAACATCTTCAGAACGCCGCACGCAAAGTGTTCCATCTTGGTTTATATTGATATCACATTACAGCAAACACCTGCTATCTGACGCCTTGATAACATCTTGAGAACATTTTTCCTAACGTTGGTTTGAAAATGCGCTTCCTTTCTTATCGAGTAAAAGAATCTGCGGCCCTGACAACATCCTCTGAATGTCCCCGTCTGTGTTTTTTATTCTAACTGTACGCTGACCTTATTTGAACCGATACATATCTGTGAAATGTTCTTCAAACGCGCCGTTATGTTTTCTTGAAAACAGCTTGCAGGTAATGTTAGGCAACGTTGTGGAGACATTCTAGCTCGCTGTCAAAGTCAGTGTGTTGACGGATGATTGATTACTTATCAATTTGTGATTTCTCTGGAAGATCCAAGTGGTTTTTTCTTTTGCGATTGCTGTGTTTTGAGTTTCCTCGCTTGGGTGGGAGTTTCGGGTCAATTTTTTCCTTTCAGCTAGCAAAAAAACCCCACATTCCTTCTGAAACTAGGCACATATGGGTGTTGTTTTTGTATTTTTAAAGCAAATTCTTGCATAGTCTTGGAGTAAAACAGCCACTTGTCATCCATCCATCCATCCATTATCTATACACCGCTTAATCCTCACCGGGTGGACTGGAGTCTATCCCAGCTGACTTAAGGCGAAGGCAGGGAACACCCTGGACAGGTCGCCAGTCCTCACCGGCGACCTTCTTTCTGCGAGGCAACAGTGCTAACCACTGCTCCACCCTGCAGCCCTCGCAGGGGGCTGGAGCCTATCCCAGCTGACTTAAGGTGAAGGCAGGCTTGTCATGACAGATGTAAATCTTTTCTGACTGAGAAACCTGCACAAGCCTGTTTTCACTTCAGCACATTGTTAAACTTACACGTTCACTCCTGTAAAGCTGCTATTTCTGACAACAAAAAATAAAAACAATCTGAGGTTGTGTTTTGTTTAACAATGAGACAAAAAAATGTGGGCCTCCAGTAAAAGGAATGAGACAAATGAAAGGTATTTACTGCACGTTGCAAACGGGACGCTCCGTCATCTGAGGTCAGCTCACACATAACCTGGCATAGTGACAAATCTATGGAGGGAGTGAGTTCATTAGCGAAGCTTTTGAGAACGTCTCACACAGCGGAGGTGCAGTATTTCGGTTGCATTAAAGCATCGATAGAAGTTATGCGAAATGCCCTGATGGAAAGAGAGAAAGACAAGTATTTGAAGGAATGGCAGCTATGTGGGCTGAGGTCCTTGTAGAATAACTATCCACACACACACACAAATCAGACTAGATTAAAAAAAATGCTTTATTAGTTTTTCTTTGCTCTGTTGCATCTTAAAGTGCAGCATTAGAGAATGTGCCGTTGCAGGGAAGAGGCTGAAAGGGCTCCGACAAGTGAGAGTGGGAAAACAATACGGGGAACATAATGCCCACCGGCAGCCACTCAAGCCTATTACTGCTCATTAAGAAACCCTGGAGGGATAACAGAGCTGAGAAAACACACACAGGCATTACCTCTGCAGTTCATTTCAAATAAATAACTCGTGGGAATAAAAGACAAATCCTCCCGTTACAGAATCGTTATTGCTTCTGATACAGTTATCATCACTTTACACCGTCCATACAGTACAAACACAGGCCCCCCACCCCTGTTTTTTTTTTCCAAGGCACTTGGGCCGAGAGATCGAAAACCAAATAAAACAATCTGACGGCCGCAATTACGTTATGAGACATGATGACAGCGGCGATAATCAAAACGCTCGCCGGCCCCGTTTCTGACAACGGCTCATAACTTCGAAAACCAATAAGGGGAAAACGACAATAACAGCTTCTACATTATCATATCGCATTACACAACAAAACCCCCGCGCGTTAGATGCTTATTAGAGCATCTCTTTCATATTATGCTCCCTTAGCGGAGTAGAGATGAAGTGTATAAATGCGCGATAGAGAGATTTTTAATGAGACTTTGTTTTCTTAATACAATATCCCACAGTGTTCGCAGCAAAGCGGCGGCGGCGGCGTCATCGGTTGGCGAGAGGCTGCTGCTCCTTATCAAAACAGGCACTTTATTCATTACTTAGATAACGGCTGTGTTTTAGGGGGCGAAATCAGAAGGGCTCCTTGTGTCACGAATAATTATAATCAGAAGTATAATCAGTCATACAGAGATGGAGCGAAGCTTTGGGCTACGAGTGTAACCGAAGTCCGTGGTAGCACATGTGGACGAGTAGTTAAGTTACTGTGCATCATACACATACACAGAGAGACACAGAGCAAAGTGAATTAATGCATAGATAAGTTCCTATAAACCCATTTTGGCATAAAGTCATGAGCTTCAACGCTTTCCTTTCCCACCTCTTTCAATGGATGAAATGAGAGATTGTTGTTTCCTATCTCGATAATCCGCATGAAAGCCTCTTGTGATTTCTTTTGAAAAACTTAAGACACGATTATCATCAGAAAAAAAAAACCCCTGAATTATACATCAGTGCCATTAAACGTCCCCTTTTTTTAACTCCTACTATTGTTACTCATTCTAGTATTTTAATGAGATTTGGTTTCAAATGCAGAAAGTCTTTCTATTCAAAAGCAGAAACTTTAAATTATCACTTCAGTTGTGGTTGTACTATTCGAATGTAAATCGCCATCTGGCCGCTGAGGTGAAAATACAAAGTTGATCAGAGGTTTTTGGCTTTTTTCAGTCTTTCAAAGTAAGTTTCCCCAAAACATGATTAAATGACAGAAAATCTGTTTATTTCCGTCCATCATTCACACGATCGCCCCATCAGTCAATTAAATAATGGTAATTTCTTCGGTTTCTCATTAAAACCAAAGAATCTCCTTTTATCCTCCGCATTCATTTAGACTCGTGGCAGTGTTTTTAAAGTAAGAGTGCAACTTTTTCATCTATACAACACTGCTCCGTTACTAATGAGGACATTTTCTTACTGTTACATAAATAAACTGTGACATAGACACGGGTTATTAGGCCGCCGCTGCGCAGCCTTTACAAGATGCTTAGGGACGCCGCTATTTGCATTCCCATCAATAAATGTCCCACGCAGTCGAGAACATTACAGTGCTGATGCGTTTTGTTCTTATGGAAGGGGCATCTTAGGAGTTTGAAATGAAATTCTGCTGAAAATCTGGTTTACTCGAATTGCATTTTTTTGTCAGAAGTGACAGCTCTGTCAGAAACAATCTGCCTCCTTCTGTCAGAGCAAAACAAGTGCTGGATTTATCCGAGAGTGGAAGTTAAACTGACATCTCAACACAATAGAAAGTGTGGATTTTGAGGCTTTTTTTTTCTTCTTTTAACTAAGACAAATAGGTGATTTTTAGAAGGCATGAGACAACGCCACAGTGATCTCGCCCCCTCCGGGACCTGTGCTTATTTGAAGAGGCTGGGAAATGGAGGCTGCTTTCATCATACAGGCTTTACCTGCTTCCAAACAGTAGTACACCCATATACCTAATGTGAGGCATGGATTGCTGTTAGACTCCTTCATAACAGCTGGAAGTTTGGCTGAGATGCTGAGGGGTTGCGACAGATCCACAATGTCACCAGTGATCACCCGACTGTCCAGCAGCCACTCGTTACCTACGAAAAAAAACAGGAAACGGTGTCAAAGGGACAAAATCAACTGTCTTCAAAGTCCATTAAACTGGGGTCTGTAATACTAAGTGTCTTGTAATGAAATGATTCATAAATGAGAGCCATCCTAGCAGCTGTATGAGGCTGTACGAGGACGTGGCGATGCTGATAGCTGGTCACGGTGGGAATTTTTTAAGGACTATTTTTACATCTTCTCAATAAAAATTGTGTTCACTTGCAATACTTTTGCATTTCTCTGGATTACGTCGCACTGCTTCTAGGATTTGCAAATTTGAAACCAATTTCTTAACAGAGACTCAGCAGCCTTATCATCCAGTAGTGAACTGATCAATAACACAAAATGCTGTCATGCCATACGGGCCGCTCTACCTGTGAAGACAATCAGCCACCAGCTCATAGGGATGCTGCCATAGCGCACTTCAGCAAGCCAACAAGACAAGAGCGCTGTTTGGTACCCGTTAACAGTCACAGGACACTTTCTCATGGTGGCCCTTTGCTAAACTCCCACAATGCTCTCTACTTGCTAATACAGAACAGCTATAGTACAAGGGACCACCTCCTCCAGAGACTCCACCTGCTGGCACAATCAGGTACTACAGCTAATATACAATACATTTTGTCTTATGCCTTATACTTAAATACATTTATAGTTGGTTAAATAATTAATGGCAACTAATCAATTAATTATTTCTCATTCACATGCCTAGTTCGTCTTGCAATGTTTAATTGTTCCCTTGCAATGAATTGTACATTACCTCAAAACAAGTTTTACCATAATATCGATACCACCACAGACTGAACCACAGCAGCGTTAACCACCAGCCACAGCTTCACCATCACAGCCAGGCAGAGCGGCTACAAATGTGCAATACATACATCTCCTCTCTGTAGTAGCTATAGTGTTTCACAGACACACCAATTGCTCATATGGATCAGAAGGATGGTAAAGCATATTGCGAGGTAAAGCAAATCACAAAATTCTTCCGGGGCTATGTACTAATTTTAAGGATCTAAATAAGGATGCTAACATGCTTACAGTGACAATGCTCATGCGAGGTAAGTATAATGTTGATCACATTCATTATGTACAAATACAAGTTAACATTTGCTAATTAGCACTAAACAAAATGTGCAGCAAGGGTTGGTGGGATGGTTCTGCAGGCATTTGGTCATAAACCAAAGTTTAAGTAATCACCAAGGTATTACAATCCATCCTGAGGGGGGCGTCACTGCCTGAACCAAATGTTGTTGAGACGTTTTATTCCAAAATCACCAAAATTAAACTGTTTGCTAGATGAAAAATCAGATCTGGGCACCATGGATGTCTACACTCCAGTGTCATAGCAATCTAATAGTTGTAGATATACAGTACAATAAATATTCCTCTCTACACACAAAGTTGTGAACCAAGTGTATCCATCCCCAGAGTTACACTGCTCGCATGGATAATAACAAGATCAATGCACAGTTTGGAACCACATCCGTCTCGCTACTCCGAAAGAGCAGATGTGTTCGTATGAGAATGCCTGCCTGGCACCTAGATTTATTGCTGAGTGTGTAGCCTCCGTACTAGATGGCCTCAAGCGTGAGCGTTACACGGCATCAGCAAACGGCGTCCTCTGAAATAGTGGTCCCACCTTACTATTGTAAATCACATCAACTCGGGGTGAGGACATTCATTTTCTGAAACAAGGGGGGGGGGTATTTTTAGAAACACATCTAAGGAGACGCGACCACTGAAAGATAAATGAAAGTCAAAAAGAAAAAGCATAGATTTTCAACTGTGAGAAAATTTCACGCTAGAGAGCCCACGAAATCCAAGCCGGCGGTGATTAATGAAGCTCATGCCTAACATAAGGTCCCAGGGAAGCCATTTCTAAAAAGCCACTAAAAAACAATTTAGATTCGCCGTGCACTTCTAAGTTGATCCATTAAAATTCCTGCCTGTGCTCTGATCAGATCAGTATAAGTCTAGACTGGGCATAATGGGACAGCGGCGGATCACGTAACATAGCCTGGTAGCTAATTATGTGAACCAAGGCATGTCGTCTTATCGAAGCGCTCTATAAATAGCCTGCTGATATCGCTGACTGCATGCTGTATCGCTCAGAATGATAGAAACACTTTTGTTCCAAACCTAATGAACCAACCATTGACTGTTACCGACATTTAACCTAAAATCACCTCACACTCGATCTTAGAGTCACGCTGAGGTTGATTACACTTTGAACAAAGCCGTTTGAACAAGAATACGGACAAAAAAAATTTAAATTGTTCCTGCCACATACAACCTCACTGCTGGTTTAAAAGAGTCTCTGAGTGATTTAAGTATTTCTCCACCCTTTAGCTGTGAACTATAAATCCCCGGCGTGGGCTGCCAGAGTGAGAATCTGCTGGTTGTACAGTGAAAATGACATCAAGGTTAAGCATCATTCACTGCCATTATTTTCTTTTTTTTTTTTGACAGAATCATGGATCACAGACCAAAATAAAGCTTAGTAGGAGAGAACGAGAGGCTCGCTTCTTCAGCAAGGTCATTACGAATGCAGAGGAGCAGTTTGGTTACCACGAAAAACAAAACTTCAACTTTTGAAACTTGATGAAAACAACAGCAGGAGTATAGTTTCATCACACCTCGCACTTTCACAAATGCAGGCAATTCCTTAAAAATGGGATTTTTCCGTTTTCACTTGGACTAAATGATTAAACGTTGCCACATTCGGCACCCCCTCCTCTCTCTCCCCTCGCGAATACCTCGGCGTTGTGAACCAGCAAGGTGGAAAATGGCACGTAGGCTTGCAAAACCAGTGCAGTTTGGAGGTATTTTAATCAAGAAGATGAAAACAAGGCTGTATGTAGGCTGTGTGTGGTAACCTCTTGACCGGTGCAGAGCATAACCACAGGAACGTCAACCTGCAAAACAATCTGTTTAAAATTGTATTTTTTACTGAGTAAGCAGCGTTTAAAACCAGATTTGGTTGTTGAAGAATGTGGCGTGATTACTTTTAGGCTTGCCTAATTTCAACTTTCCTATTAATTGACCTTCACAATCACTTAGATTTTCACTATAACTGTCTGCTGTGTTGTTTAAATCTCTCCAGTTCTTCCTAATACACCTTTTTTCCAGCAGCTATTTGTCAAGTCTTTGTCTAAAGCCCTCCCCTGAACGGCCAAACATCCAATCATATCTAACTATGTTCCTCCACATGTTAAAGTGGGATCCACGAAGCTAAACCTGGCATTTCTTCAGCCTTTACAAAACCAAAAAACACAAACAGGTGATCAACTGTTGTGTTTGTCTGCTCTGGTCTTATAATAAACGGCAAACATTACCACATCAGACTAACTTAATGATGTGATCTCTACACTTCGCACCGCAATGCAAGAACAAGGTGAGGCTTAACCAGCAGTCAAGGTGCCTTTCATGGGTATGAAGTTAAACGTACTTGCAGGATCGATTGCAATAGAACATTTACATGCACTTTGCCCTTGTAGCAATGATTGAAGGCTGTCTCACCCTCAGCTGTGAGAGCCCAACAGCTGGGTGCCTCTTCGGTGAGCGTGGTTCCTTCTGGAAGTGATACTGTGACGGACAGGACGACAGTCTGGCCTGCAGACACTGCTACTGGCGGCATTTCTTTCCTGGCAGCTGATTTGGGCAGCGTGGGGGCTTTGGTCGGACCCGAAGGCTTAGTGGCTCCCGAGTCGGTGCACTCAGTGGAGATGGGGAACTGGATAGGAGAGAGATTTAGATCTTTAGATTAAAGAGGAGCAAGGAGAAAGCTAGTGACAGTTAGAATGGCCTTTCTTCATCACCCTTTATCAAAACTCCCCTCGCACAAAAGCTTTTAGGGCAAATTAATTGCACAAACGAGGACGAAATGTAAAGCGCGTTCTCAAGGTTGGAAGCGCACTTTTCTAAAAACACAAACACGGGTCTGACCAGTGAGACGGTCTTGGATGCCAAGTCCAGCACTTTGACTCGGTGGTTGTTGGTGTCGGCCACGTACAGAAGCTTCCCGCCGTCGCCGACGCAGATTCCGCCGGGTTCACTGAAGCAGGATTTATTAAATTCAGGACCCAGAGTGTCTCCAGCCTCTCCGGTTCCTGCTAATGTGCTACACTGCTTCGTCTTTGGATCCACCACCTTGATCTGAGCATAAGACACGAAAAACAAAAAAGGGTCGCATTGTGATGTTCATGTATGGTGATAGATCAAAGTGAGAGTTCACCCCTGTGGGTATCCGCTTGGTGACCTAAAGGAACCTGTTACGACAACAGCGGCATTGAATGTGAGCACAGAACACCTCTGAATAGCAGCCTTGTGACATGCACCAGTTACCTTGTGGTTGTAGGAGTCGGCCACATAGAGCAGGCTTTGTTCAGGAGCCCAGGCAACACCCAGAGGATGCTGCAGTTTGGCATCCACACCTTTCCCGTCTGCATCCCCAAAAGCGAAGAGGTTCTGGTTTGTAGGAAGACAAAACATTTAGAAGAGATCAAATGAAGAAACGAATACATACAAATGCTGGCTCAGCTTAACATAGTTTAAAACAACAGAACATCCAATCAGAAAATTGTGAACTTCCGCTAAGTGTGATCATTTTCAAAAGTTCTCCTGATCAGTTTCCTGAAGAAAAACTTGAAATAAAAACACGGAAGCAACATTGGCTTCATTATTTCTGGGTCTCTTCAATAATTCATACAGCGACACAACTTAAACATTAACAAGAACTAATAAGCCACATTTGCAATAAACGGTGGCAATTACTTCCAAATGCATCAGTTACCGCGGCGACACGAGATGAGTCACTCTTTAGGAATTTTAAGGAAAAGTACGACAGCATTAATAATAATATGTGACAAATAAATAAATAAATAATAAACGTAATTAGAACATTAAAAATGGGCCACATAATTAAAATGATGTGGAAGAAAGAGTTCTGCACGGTGACAGATAAATCACTATTATGGCCAATCAACAACCAATTCGAAAAAAATAATGACATAGCTTTTCCTCCTGCATCGCTCAGTACGGTAAACAAAAAATAAAAATGGAGATAACGATCTTCTAGAAAGTCTCATGATTCTCTCCGCCTCGCTGACTCTCCACAGCTGAGGAGTGCACTCAGCAACAACAGCAGCAGCTGAAAAAGAAGCAAATCCTTGGGAAAATCTGCTGGTGTGCACCAGCGGACTCGTTCCAAATGCCAGCGGGTTTACATGAGCTCAAATGTTCGCCATCGCCGCATGAGTGTGGCCTCTGTGTCAGATGGTGACACAGCTGTTGGCAGAAGTGTGAAGTCCCTACGCAAAGCAAAGGGAGCAAAATCTGAAAAATGAAGGAAATTGATTTAGTGGTTTTATCTGTTAACTGAGGGCTGCAGGGTGGCGCAGTTGGTAGCACTGTTGCCTCGCAGCTAGAAAGTCGCTGGTTCGCGTCCCGGTGGGATCTTTCTGCGTGGAGTCTCCATGTTCTCCCCGTGCAGCATAGGTTCTCTCCAGGTTCTCCGGCTTCCTCCCACACAGTCCAAAAATTAATTGGTGATTCTAAACTGTCCATAGGTGTGAATGTGAGTGTGCTTGGTTGTCTGTCTCTAAGTGTGGCCCTGTGATAGACTGGTGACCTGTCCAGGGTGTCCCCTGCCTTCGCCCTGAGTCAGCTGGGATAGACTCCAGCCCCCCATGACCTTAGTGAGGATTAAGTGGTGTATAGATAGCTTAAAAAGCGTAAAGCGGTGTATAGAAGCTTTACGCCTCTGCCTACTGGTCAAGCTGCAGACTACATCTTCTGTACCTGAGCTACTGTGTTGAAAAAGAGTGAAAAAAAATAACGTGTTTTGTGAGTTCACAGTAACGTTTGACCACCAAACTCTAATCAGTTCATTCTTGATTCCAAGTGAAGATTTGTGCCAAATTTAAAGAAATTTCCTCAAACTATTTATTCCAGGGGTCTCGAACTCCGGTCCTCGAGGGCCGCAATCCTGCATGCTTTAGATGTTTCCCTCTTCCAACACACCTGATTCAAATGATCAGGATGGTTATCAGGCTTCTGCAGAGCTTGATGATGAGCTGATCATTTGAATCAGGTGTGTTGGAAGAAGGAAACATCTAAAACTTGCAGGATTGCGGCCCTCGAGGACCGGAGTTCGAGACCCCTGATTTATTCACTCATCATCTGCATTCATGAGAATAGGACAACCCAGAAACATAATGCCTCCAGCTCTGGCTGTCACTCATGTAGAGACGTAAAAATGATGTCTTAAATGCAGGTTTTAACAAAAAAATGTTGACTAAAATCTGTTGGTTGGTTAAAACAATGGTTTGATATTTTTAGAACTAAGTTCTCGCCAAAAGTTAAAGGGACCGATATCGCTCTTACAGCTTTGTGGTAAATATGAAGCTACAACTTTAGCATGCCAGCGACAGACTATACCTTCAACAAATGGTCAGTTAGTAGGCTTTAACGGAAGCTGAATTCGCTTAGCTTTGGTCAGAGATAAGACTTCCCAAAGTTCCAGTCTTTGTGGCAGGTAAAGCAAACCAGCAGCAAACACTATTTTACACAAATTCAACAGTGATATCAATCTTCTCCTCATCCGACTCCTGGTGAGTCAGAGAACGAGTGTCTTTGGCATTTGGAACACTGTGTTGCTCAGTGGATGGCGCTCAGCTGACTATGAAAAGCAGATTATTCCTGCTTTTACTACCATACTGTCAGGAACCTAATCAAATTATTCACCCCTTTTCAAGCTTCTCGGGATACTGAAGTCAAGACAGGGAGGTCGGCGAGATCACATGGTTGAAATCCCAGAAGTAAGATGGCTTAAAAAGACTTCCACCAGCTCAAGAAGAGACAAAAACATTCAAAGATCTGGGGAATGATTGCTGGGATGCAAATATAGTAAAAAAAAAAAACAAAACAAAACCTGAGAGTTGGACATTTAAGTGTAGCAGCTTTAATCCTCTTTTGGGGTTCATGTTTCACTGTCTCACTTTAACAGCCACGATGTCTGTGGGCAGCAGACTGTGTATTAATGGTTTTTGCTGGCTCTTGGCCATGTTGAATAAACTGTATATGACTCTCCAGTTAATTACTCCCCGTTCTCGTGGGTGACTACCAGCTATAGAGCTCTTGGGACGTTCCGAAAATAAACCAGCGTGGCAAGAAACAAAAAAAAAATACGACAGCAGAGGAGCTGTGGGGACATGGAAGTACTACCAAAAATGTGTTTTCAGGCTCTGCAACAAACAAGAGAGACGACATTTATTTGTGGCTTCTTGAGTCAATAATTTCAAACAGCCATGAGCCACCGAGGCAGAATCACTCCAAGATTTTTCTTCATAATTGTCAGAATGTTTACTATGGTTGGAAACGTGGTGGATTAATGTGCAGGATTTACAGTGTGTGTTTTCTGCTGATGAATGGAGGCACAGCCAGGACGTATTATCATTGAAACGCCGCACAAGGTTATTCAGTTCTTACGGTGCACCTCAGAAATGCATGTTTAATTTCCTCCACTTTCTTTTTCAGCTGCTGCTCGCTGCGTTGTCTTTAAAACCCACTGAAAAAGAAGCTACGGAAGCACTGAAGTGGACAAATTGTGAATTTATGGACGCTAAATCGTCCAAAAATTGAAACTTGGTGTTTCTTCTTCGTAGCTGGTTTGATGGAATTTTTAATCATATAAACCACTTGTCTATTATAATAAAGAAATAAAATAAGCAGCACAAGAATGGAAAAGATACACGGCAGATAAAGAAAAGAAAAAAACCCTTCTCCACCGTATTATTAATTCATTCATCCATCATCTGCTGCACACCCACCAGTGGGTCCCTCTCTCCCCCGACCAGCAACTTGACGGCTCCATCCTTCAGCGTCAGCGTGCGGATGGTGCTGCTCTCGCTATCTGCCACGTACAGGCAGCTCCAGGGCTCCTCTGGGGCTGCAGCCAGGCCCGAAGGCTGGGCAAAGCCTGCCTTGTGAGGGTAGGCGTTATTTCGGTTCTCTTCGTTGCCGCTGCCCGCCCATCGCACGCACACGCCCGCCTTGGACTCACTGTTGAAGATGTACAACAGAAAGATGAAAAACTGCCATGCATTGCTGGACAAGACTTCAAATAAAGCAGGGACTGTATATTTATTATTATCAACATGGCTATGTGATGAAGCCATTTCTGGTGGTGTTGGAAACGGACACACTGCTTTCCTGTGATACTTCCTGCCACGTATGTCTAAAAATGGATACGACAGGAGCACAACAAAGTCCCTAATATTCTTAGAGAAGATGATATGAGTGGATTTTCAGCGTTGCGGCTGCCAGGTGGCCATGATGGTCGTGTACCAGTCTCTCACCTTCCTTTGGGCAGTTTTCCATCTGCTAGGAACAAAGCCCAGATCTGGTGTGTCCCTGCCATGGCTATCCACAGCACGTTGTCTTCAGCACCGCCTACACAAAAACACATGAAGCAAAAACATAGAAATGCGAGAAATTTGCAGGAAACTTGTGTCATTGCTTTTGGCTACGACTCAATGTCATTCAGAAGCGATTATTATTGTGCTTGAGTTCTTTCAGGAGCTGGCGAAAGCTGACTTGAGTTAGAAATGCAGCCATGCAGGTTTAAGCGACGGCAGCTTGTTCGACAAAGGTCACACACCACCTGAGACGCACTCAGCAGAGGCAACACTGTCATCGCAGTGGATACACAACCCATACGGACGTACAGGTGTATTTTTAACGCGGCGCAGAGTTCGGCCTCCTTTTGATCACATCTGCTGGACTGCCAGGCGCATGTATCTGACTCACGGCATCGGTGCCAGTGCTGCACTTTATAGTTCAAAAGGTGTAGAGTCCTCTTTATTTGGTCGAGTTAATTATTCATCCACGCAGCGAATAACAGCATGAATATGCAACGAGTGTGTGGATGTACTCTCAGAGGACAGTGTTAGTGGAGTTAAAGGTCTAGGAGCGCATCCTCGGACCATGTGGCGACTCTTCAAAGCAGCAGTTATCTGTCAACCTGAGCCCAACACGTGACTATGACTGATCACGACCTGCGGCGGCATACATGTAATGACAAAATAATGAAATCTTTAATACTTTAAAGTCGCATGATAATGACCAAACATTCAATCGTCGTGCCTCTACGATGTAAACTGGCTGTTGATGAGTACAGTATTTGCCAACGGGAGAATAAACAACTCTGTCCTGTCATGTTTTGTTTGATGTATTAGAGCACAACAATGCTGCAGGGACGGTGTAACATGTACTTTAATTTGTCTTGACCTGAGGAAGCATTACACAACTTGTAGTAAATTATTTCAACCTGAGGCAAGAGAGATGTGAGAAAAACATAAACTTATACATACACAAACTTAAACATATTATTGAAGTAAAAGTTTGATTTGAATTGTTTTTTAACTGCTATATTTTGCTTGGATTCTGAAATTCTAAAAATAAATAAAGCAATTCATGTGTGTTAATAAAGTCAATAATTGGATATATTTTTAAAATGCATTCTGAGCAAATACATAAATGGCTTGTATAATGCCCTTAAAGTGTCACCAGACACTCATACATGTTTTAATAACGACCAAATCATCAATTCCCTTCAAAAATATACTGTATTCAACATTTATGAATGGGCTGCAAGGTGGTTTGGTGGTTAGCACCGTTGCATCGCAGCAAGAAAGTTACCGGTTCGCGTCCCGGTGAGTACACCCGGGATCTTTCTGTGTGGAGTTTGCATGTTCTCCCCGTGCAGTGTGGGTTCTCTCCGGGTTCTTCCTCCCACAAAACATGTTGAGGTTAATTGGTGATTCTAAATTGTCCGTTGGTGTGAATGTGAGTGTGCTTGGTTGTCTGTCTCTAAGTGTAGCCCTGTGATAGACTGGTGATAAGACTAGATAATGGATGGATGGATGCTTATAAATGACAACAGTCGAACCTGGGAAATTAAAGAGTTCTGTGGAATTTAACCGCACACAGCACCAATTACAAAACGTGCTTGAGGGACATGCTGGTGTGACATTTCTCTGTGCGACGATGCTCTGTGCTTTCTGATTTTATCTGCCAACTAAATGGCCACAGACGGGGACATACGGCGACATTTACAGATAAAAGGTCTGAGAGTTCCAAAAGCTGATTTAAAAAAAGCTTTCAAGTTTGATTTAAAAAAAGAACAAAACATTGTGTCACATATTTAAAGACATTAATCAGAAAGGAATTCTGAATGCCGAAGGCAAAATAATAGAGGCAATATAAGGGACTGAGCTTTGAACTGAGGTCTTAGATTACTTCGTGAGAAAATAAAAGACCTTGTCTGGTAGTTTGCATAGTTTCCACTTATTGTTAATGTTTGTCATGAAATGATTCAGGAGAGCTAAAATAAGCAACTGGCAACGAGCTGGGCTATCCTGTATCCCCTTGAACCGACATCACACAGATTAAAATGCTTCTTCCAACAACCTAATCAGCCCATTCTATCTTCTGTCCACCTCTGAGAATGAAGTGATCACAACCGTCATGTAGGACTCAAAATCTACAAGCTTCTGTCTGTACAATGTACATCTATTTTAGTCAAGGAAATATTTGATGCCAATGCCATGATGCTGCCAATCACAAGACATAGACATGCCTTATTACGGAGGGATGAAAATATAGTGAAACAGACCTGGAGTAAACAAAGATAACAGTGTGTCCCTAAAAAGAAGGGAAGGCAAGATCGACCCATCCCAAGACTGTGTTACTGTGTTACTAAACCGGTCAAACACTGGAAACTGGGAGAAGATTGGGCGGATTAGATCGAAAGACAAGATAAAGCTCTCCTCACAACTGAAAGATTATGACAGCGATCTAATAACGCAGCAAATCCAATTCTAATTCATTTAAAGTCATCGCAGTAAAAATAAAATGTTCTTCATTACGGCATAATCTGGCCTTTTGAATTAAGTCTGTGCAGTGGGACTGGAATACACACAAGTAGAGATCTGTCTAAAAAATTTAATTTGAAAGAGGAATAAAATCATCTACATTTAGTGGCGACTGCAGACAGACGCGTTATTGGATTTGCTGCAGAAGCGTCGTCATTTTGTAAATCGAAAAGCACTTTTGAAAAACTCATAACTACTCCGTGCACTCGTGATAATAACTCTCTCGTGGCTGACAGAGTCTGAATGGAGGGAACGGTTGAATAACTTGGGCAGAATGTGGAAAATATGTAAAGGGAGGCATAAAGGAAGTTTACATAACTCGAGATACTACATAGATATCACCGCACTGCAGCAAGACTCCACGAGCTCCATTCCTGAAAGATTGGGTCAGCGATGGTAGATGGTAGCATCCTGTGAGCTCTGGCTTCATAAATTAAACGGATAGTTCCTCCCTATGGGATGTTTTCAGACCTGCGTGAAGGTTAAAGGAGGTTCTGTTTGGATTATATAAACAGCCAAAAAAGTTCTGTTAATGAGACGAGCTTTCTTTTTGCAAGATTACTGTCTCACTTCTGTATTTGCTACATATTTATTTATTTACTGTGGCGATGTCTGCACCGGTGACCTTAAAGTGACGTGGAGGCTTTTCTGACGCCACCTTTTTATAGGAGAACGTCCTTCCGAGTGTAAACCCCGACCATATAAAGGATAAAGGAGCCGTAATATTGTTTACAAACGGTAATAATGGCACACTTGCTCAGACAATAGGTCCATTTATTGTGTTGCGCTGCATTACACTGATTAAAAGTGTCACAAACAGGTAGCGACACAAAGACGAGCTCGATCCCTCCGTCCTCTCTCACCTCTCGACTGTGGCATGAAGAGAAGGCCGGATGTAGAAGTTTGATCAATCGGTTGCGGAAAGTTGAACATAATGGTCGACGCAGACGTCCTACTGTCTGAAAGATCTGGAGCGGAGGCGGCGGTGATCTGGCCATCTGCCATGCAACTGGGATGGACCATAAATTCCACTGTAGTCGCTTTCTGTTGTGTTACCGCATCTCCCTTACTTCATCTTGAACTCAATCTAGCTGATCTCTGAAGTAACAAGTCCCAGCAACGTCCAGGTCGCACTGACTCTCAGGAATTATTTATGGTTTAGGAAGATGTGGGAAGAATACAAAAAGCAGAATAGAGGCGATCCTGTAGGGCAAACGGTGAAGGTAAAGGCAGATAGGGAGGGGAAAGGCAACCACGAAACTCACCTGCACTTCCGAGCGTCACATCCCAAGGAGAGCTGATTGGCTGCTGAGGTCCCATGGCTCCGCCCTCTTTGTCTGTGCCCTGAACACCTACTCCGGCTAGAGTGCTGACTTTTCCCTCAAGCAGGTCAATCTGACACACAGACGCAAACAGTCAGACACAAATGCACATGTACAATTTTATATTTAAAAAACAAAGACAGTGGGCGCTACCTTTCGAATCAGGTGGTTTTCGGTGTCGGCGACATATACGGTGTCTCCTTTAATGGCGACACCCTGAGGGGAGTTGAAGGACGCTTCGGACAAGTCACCATCCTGTCGCCCACTTTTAGGCCCTGTGATAGAAATGATAACACGGTCATGGGTGTGCAACACTACCTCATTTACAGGTCATACTAAGCCTGGAAATGTTTTTTTTGTTACTGCATAATAAATGCACCAAAGCTCTTTAATCGACTGATTTTTCTACAAAGATTAAAGAACTGAATGAAATTTCCTACAGATTCTCTCTTTCTTTATCCAATTAACATTTTATTTATGTGAAATTCAGAATCTGTGGCATTTAAATGTGACTAATCAGCTACATTTCTAAACAGCTGCTTAGGTTGCATTTTTATTTCTTTAAACTGAGTCCTTATTTATTTCTATAACTGCGTTTAAATCTTGCCAGAACAAAACAACTTCAGATTTGTGTTGCATTTCGGTAAACATTCACATTATCGGTTCCTACAATGTTTGTGCACAGAGATGAGGTCAACTACAGCAAAATAAAAATATCTTCCTTTTATTTTTTTCTCTCCCTGTTCATCTACACTTAGGTCAGTGCCAGTTCCCAGCATGTACTAGTCCGTGCTGTTGCCAACCTCTCTGTTGATCTGGGGACAACACAAGCTACCATGTGGCTCCTCTGAGGGTTGTTGAGGCATTTGCGTAATCACAAAATACCTACGTCGCCTAAATGATGTTGTGTAACTTGGACTGATCCTACTGTTTAAAAAATACTTCTCTTTTAAAAAATTGAACTCATTTAAATAAGAACATGGTGTAAAACTAATTTTTGCATCTTCTTTTCTAAGATGCCATGATGTGATGTATTAGGAGTGAACGCCAACATACTGTACACCTTCTTACCTCCTATGACATGGAGCAGGAGTCCAGTGGAAGACACCACCAGGACTCTGTGATGTCCGGTGTCTGCTATGACCAGTCTTTTACCGTTGTCGTCTACTGCCACCTTCCCAGGGAAGGAGAGGATGCTGGGAGGCAAGGAGTCTCTGTACAGCTTGATCCCGACCGCGTGGCCCTTCAGCAAACCCTGCTCCCCGTAATAACGGAGGGCGCTGTCGGTGAACAGCGTCAGCCTGTCGCGGTGGCCTTCGCCCACCAGGGAGAAGAGCAAGTTGCCACGTGGTCCCAGCAAAACCAGCGTCGGCCAGCAGGACACCTCCAGCTCGTGCCAAAGACGCGCCTCGCTGTCGTTGACCACGGGGTGGACGATGTCGTAGCGGAGAACGGCACTGCGAATGTTGTCCAGGACCTTTGAAGGTTAGGAGACAAGTGCAGTGAATCAAATTGCTCAGCTCCTCAACTTTAGAGTCACACTTTAAATGATTGGCTGATGTTCAAAATGACACCCATTTCTGCCTCATATTCTTTGATATTTCTCCTCTTTACAGTTTATTTATTATTTGGAGATGTAAAAACTCTTTGAAGAAGCAAAAATCACACAAAACTAAGAATATATTGTGCAGTTAGAGCAGCAAAGAACTGCCTAAATGACGGAGCTTATAGAATCGGTGGAAATGTGCTAATACGCCTTGAAAAATCTGTACTTCATTTTGTTTTGTTTTTTTGTTTGTTTTTTTTAGTTTTTAAGAGCCTTTTTTGGAAATTGAGTAAGAAAAGTTTTATGTGTATGGAGCATCTTTCCATTTACAGTAGGAGAGCAGTGGAGATTATTCTTCTCTTCATATGTGGGCAAACAGCTTTGTAAAAAACAAACAAACAAACAAACAAAAAAAGACTAACATTACGTCCATCCATTATCTATACACCACTTAATCCTCAATAGGGTTGCGGTGGGTAACTTCATAATTACCAGGGATATATGCAATTAATTATCAGTTCTTATATACTGAGACATCAGCCAAAGTCTTGTCATTAGTTTGCTAGTTTTGATCGCTGATAAACATTTCGGAAACAAGGTAGCTAAAATCCTGCTTTCTGGTGATTTTTGGGGTCAAACGATGTCATTTTATTTTATTTGCATAATTTATTTCATGACTGAATCGCTTGTTCACATACGGGGACTCCCACTGATAGCCATCAAAATGAATGTAATATACCGGACTGCAGTGTTGAATGGGAGTCGTAATGCCAGCCCAGTATAGCGGGCTACACTGGGTTAAAGGTAGAAACTGAAAAATGAGGACACTTAACACACTTATCAACCTGGCAGCAAAGAAGATCAATGCAATCTCCACAGTTTTAAAGTGGGTCCCCTTAGATTTGGTCATTCTGATAAATATTCTGTAAGCTGCAAAAACCAGATTGTCATAATTACATCATAACAAGTGTACAAACATTATATTCATGGCTCTTAGATTTGACATAAAATTGTCTTGCATGAAATGTACCAGCATTCCCAAAATGAAAAAAAAATATTTGCAGACACTTTACAGTTATGAAAATGCAGACAAAAGCACTAACACAAAAACACTTACCTTTTCATTGGGAAATTTGGCAGAGTGCACACCAACAATTACCAACCCATCTGAGAGACGGAGAAAGAGACAAACACATAAAACACTGAGTGGTGTCGCAGAAGGGTGTGAAAAATCAAATCTACAAACAAAACAAAAGCACAAAAAGCTGTTTTTTTTCATATTTATTTGCCTTGTTTATGTGATGTGTATAGGGGAAAAACAACAACTACCTTATTCTACCATTTCAGGACTGGGCTGTCAGTCTGAGTGTGTGAAAGTGACTGAACAGTAGTTTGAACTCCAGCTACAGCGATAAACTCATTTACATCTCTGTAAATTCTTTACGATGCATGAATGTGTCGGTAAGTTCAGAATCCTGATCAAAGACACAAAACGTCACACAAAAAACGCTCAGATATGAGAAAGGACCGGCCTAAAAGGAACTGATGTTCCCCTGAAAACTCTACAGATCTTTCTTTGTTTACAAGCTTAAGGCCCTCAAGCAAGTCATAATTTTGTCTATGTGAGGTTCCTAGAATTGTGTTCGAGCCTCGAGGCTGTGGATGGTCATCCTTTCTCAGTAATCTGACACCATCAATGAAACTAGTTAAAATGTCTCACTTCTAGTCAACGGATATTAAACTGTTATGTAACCGACGTGCACAAAACTGTGGAACATGCATTAGTGATGGTTTCATGAACAGACCCGTTTATTGTTTCGAAAGTCCCATAAAAAAGGGACCTGACACAGCAGATATCGCAATAACTTTGCTTCCTGTTGCCCAAACGGTTCACAAACGCAGTCACTCTTGTACTGGTGTCATTCCTTGATTTAAATACAACAACGCTGTATGTAAACAGGACCACAGTAGAGAAATGTTAAAGTCATTCCTTCATTCTGAGAATACTTTATTCACATGGACTCAAGCAGATAGAGAGATTTCAGAGTAATCTAACATTTTAAGCATTTCTATCCGTTCTTTAGAGTTGGATTATATGGAACTGCATGCATCGATCAAGTGAATAGCATTGATCATCTTGGGGTGGGTCATACTAGGCAGCAAGTGAGCAGTCAGTTCTTAAAGTTGATGTGACATAAGCAAGAAAAATGTGGCGGCGTGAGCATCTGAGCGACTTTGAAAAGAGCGAGTGGATCAGAGTCTCTCCAAGATGGCAGGTCTTGTGCATTGTGGTTCTTATGGTTCTAAGATTCACAGCACTGGACTTGAAATGTGGAATATGTTGAAGTTCTAATATAAAGTTCCTCATTTATTTTAGAGTGCAAACAGTAAAGTCCTAGATCACTAGTTAAATAAATTCTCACAGAGAGTCAGGAGTCACAGATGCTTGTAGGACACTGGCCAGGATAGGGATGCAACTAACAATGATTTCATTTTATTGATTAATCTGCCAATAATTCCCTTAATAAATTAAATTCTTGGTCAATAAAATACCTGTAAACAGTAACAATGGCTTTCACAAGTTTCAAAAATCCAAAATAATCTGCGTCCAACACAAAGTCCAAAAGATATTCAGCTTAAATTTAGAAAACTGAGAATATTTGGCATCTTTGCTTGTGAAATGAAAGTACTCATTTTAGTTATAGTTCAGGCCTTAGGTTCTCTTTGTAGTTGTGGCTCAGTATAACTGGAGGTTGCTTGGTTGTCTGTCTCTAAGTGTAGCCCTGTGATAGACTGGTTACCTGTCCAGGTGAACCTGCCTTCACCCTGAGTCAGCTGAGATAGACTCCAGCCCCCCTGCAACCCTAGTGAGGATTAAGCAGTGAATAGATAATGGATGGATGGATGGATGGTATACAATGGTACCAAAAGTAGCTCAAGGAAGGAACACCAACGATACAGGAGTGAAGCCTGATCCTACAGAAGAGCTACTGATGCACAAATGGATAAAAACTATAAAGCTGCAGTGATAGAAAGGTGGCAGGACGCACACTGCATCACAGCTTGCCGTGAATGAAGCTGTGGAACTGCAGACTGGTGCCCATCCAATAAGAACAACACCAATAACGGGACTGAAACAAGCTGTTGGAAGCAGTGTGACGCTCTGGGAAATGTTCTGTTGGGAAACTTCGGGTTATTACTTTAACATGTTCCAAAACATTACAAACCACACACACGCCGTCATGCCAGCAGATATATTTAGACTGTTGGTTTCTCTATTTAAAATGTGTACTGTCTTGGTGCTATGAGATAACATATGTTGTGAATTGGTGCTATATAAATAAAACTGAACAATGATCCCTGAAGGGCAAGGCTAGTCTTTCAGCAGGGTAACGTGCCCCGCCGCGGAGCAAAATTGTCCAAAAACACGACAAAGAGCTCAATGTGTTGAGTTAAAAACAAGTCCAATTCACGGAGGATTCATCTCACAACTTCACGGAGCTGCTGCTAATGTCTTGGGGTCTGATACCATAAAAAAAAAACCTACTTTGTCAGCAAGCGAGGGACTTACATAATATTAGTCAGGTGGTTTGCTGTTGTGGCTGAGCACAAGATAACAAGGCAATATTGAAAGTCTGTATGAAAAAAAAAAGGCCCATTCATGATTGAAAATGATTAAAACAAATTAAAAGAGAAGATTGAAATAAAATAGCGCAAGACATTAATAGGAGACTAAGAATTACAGTAACTGAACGAGCTGAGAGTCCTGATTTAGAAGACGTGAGAGAGTTTTTTTGATGGTGTGTTCCGGATATGTGGAGGATAATATTGAGTGTTTAGTTGATTCCAGGGGCAGGGATAAACCAACAGTTTACAAGGCACATAGGATGCATTTATCACATTAGCTCATGCTACCCTTGTTCTCTGGACATGAACCCTATGGCCCACGTCCCTAAACAGATGTAAAAACACAAATCCCAAACCCGTCAACTCAACAGTCTGCAGTAGATTTCGTCACCCAAAGCCTCTGCCAAGCAGCGTAGCACCAGCACAGATTGCGGTGACGATGGGTGGGTGGTGGGTGGACTGTGGGAGTGACTGGACTGGGTGGCTCCCACACCTCACTGACCAGAGCAGCAAACAGAATGTACCCAATACAGTGCCAAAGATAAGGCAAGTATGATAATGTGTGGTGGTGTGGTGGTACGGCGGTGTGTGTGTGTGTGTGTGTGTGTGTGTGTGTGTTCTGTGTCCTGTCAGGCCAACGACGAGATTTCCAACCTGCGCAGCTTGCTTGGACGATCCTATGAATTGAGCATCTGCGCGATTCATAAAGTTGAATTTGAGACATTTTAACGTAACCCAGAATTAAATCTTAATCTGCGTTTTGTGGTCAAACCAGTATAAAAATATATATATAAAGAATGTCCCCATAGGCGTTCAGTGATTATGGGGGGAGGGTTTCATGCATTTAATTCCAATCCTTCGAAGTCGTTTAACTGAATAAAGAAAGTGGAAAAACAGATGGACTGGTTAATGAATTAGAAACAGTTCATTAATAGAGTCCAGATAGTCCTTCTACATACGGCTGGAGCTCTGGAATGACAGTACTGCTGATTTACCAACAAATATTTGCTAGAAAGAGCTGCTTCCTTTACAAGTCATGATCTAGCCTTAAGCTAATACCTATTTTTTTTTTTTTTTTTTTTTAAACATCTTTGAAATTTTTTTTTTTTTCAACCTTTTTTTTTGTCCAGAAACACCTGCACAATCCAGCTGCATGTACGGCCCGAGGCCCTTGGATATGACTGAAGGCGCTGTCGACCCACTGGTGCTACAGCTGTAGGGTGTAATGCTACAGCTCACAGTGGCCTTTAGCGTTACTGAACCTGGCACTCAGCATAGAGAGTAATTCTACATATATTTTTATAAATACTGTTTGCTGCAGATATGATGGTGCTGACTGACACTGCACAATATCTGATTAAATAGCCTCCTCTATCCACTGTTGAAACAACCCCAGCTTCAGATATATGTCACACACAGAAATACTTTGAACTAATTCTACTGCCTGGAGATGAGATTTAAGACTCAAAAAAAATACTTGTGTTCCGTCTGAAGGGCCAGCTGGATGCCAGAGACCATGCTTTACAAGGGGTGACTATATAAAACACTACACAGTGAAGTTCCACAGGGTGCAGTTATGGGCCCTGTGCTCACTTACTCTGCAGGCTTGTAATTATTTTTAGTTACTGTCTCTTGACAGCTCCGATAAGGGCCTTCATGCCGGTGGAAAAGAAGGAGAATGATGTACTACAGTTTCGCTGCCCCAGTGAACTTACACATGTTCCTGTGATGCAGCACGACACGTAACACAGCAGCACTTAAATTGGATTTCCTCCGTACGGCCTGCCAGACCGCTGCTGCTGCCTCCAGTGAGGCCCACTTAGCTGTAGTCTGACTTTAAGGAATAGATTTCAAATGCAGGTCAGTGATTTTTTTAGATTGGAATAATGTAGCAGGGGATAAGGGAAGGTATACTTGAAACTTAGACAAAACAGCATTTTGTTGGATTTGCTTTATGTACTTTGTACTTTCAAATGAATCTTCCACCTTTTCAACAACGAGCAAGTGAATGGTGACTAACTAGAGCCACATACTTGTATGTACAAAATTCCTCTGTACCATTAAGCTGCATTGTTGCCAAAAACAATTAAAAACACATAAGTGAGCCCCAAGTGACCCACGTCATCAGCACAAACACCATCCTGGTGCCCTCGTTATCCACAGAACCAAATGTGTACGAGTCCACAGCTGAAAATAGGACCCAACAGAGGCGGTTCTCACTCCTGTTATATCATGTTTCTTGATAAAGCTTTTTTCCACGCTTTCTTCTTCTTCTTTTTTTTTAACCCGAGAAGACGGAATGTATTAACGACCCATTTTGCATGATTTACGTCTTCAGTAGGAACGGCAGGGCTCGGGGCTTCGCTGTACGGAAGTCGGAAAGTACTGGGAGATGGAAGAACACATTGTTGTTTTTGTTCTTCTCATGGGGCTTATCATTTAATTCCAATCTGTCATTGCCTGTTGCAGACACAAACCATTTCACTGATAAGACAGTCCAGGCTGTCAAGTGTGACAATTCTATTTTTCCCTTTTATTTTGGTGGAACCGCTTCAAATTAAAACAGGCACAGTTAATTGTGTGATAATTATTTAAAACCAGACAGAAAAAACACACATGACTGGGAGAAGGCTGACAAAACATGCTTTCCTTGGTTGCATAATATAATTTACATCAAGTCATTTCTTATTATCATAATTTAAGTAATTAATTTATTGACACACTATTCATTATGGTAGCAGGGAGGGAAATGGGAAACGTTTTTTAGCAGCTCGTTGAACACGTTACGTCTGTCTTTTTTCCCCACATTATGTAAAACAGAATATCTCTTTATGTAGATTAAATCATGTCACAACCACTGAGGCTCAAGGCACCCATGCAGACAGCAGTTCTACAAGCAAAATATCTTCACAAACCTTCAACAGAGTGTCTCTTCTCCAGCTGGTGCAGGTCCGGCAGGATGTGCATGCAGTTGATGCAGCAGTAAGTGAAGAAGTCCAGCAGGACCACTTTACCAGCCAGCTCCTTGTTCAAAGACAGAGGCCCCTCCGTGTTCAGCCATTCCAAGCCTGGAGCAAATCACAGAGTGGAAAATGATGTTGTCATTTCTTTAATTACGTTTAGTCACAGTTTAAGCAAACGCTTTACATCCGTCACCGCTCTAGGAGGAGGATGGTAGCGTTTACCAAACAATTTACGGGCTTATCTGTCTTGGTCCTGACGCAGCATTTATATGTCATATGGGGAAACTGTTGGAGAGTCTGATGGATCAAAGCGTCGACTTGAGCAGCCCGAGTGTTCCATTAAAGGACGTAAATTAATTTTACACTTACGTCACATGCCCTCCAGATTGTGTCTGATAATGTTTGTCACACTTAACTCACATGCACTTGATCCATTTCCTTTCATATTTATCAGCATGCTGAGCACGGATATCCTGCACGCTGTATAATACCCAACCCTCCATGTGAGTTTTGTTTTCATAATCCTTGTTTTACCTGTGCTGCTGCATAACTTGGCAATGTATCCAGCGACACGGTGATTGTTAATTTCAGCAGCACCTGATTTGGTTTACATAAAGGTTGGATTAATAAAGGAGGAACTGCTTTTGTTCTGTCTCACAGAATGATGTAATAAAAACACAAACTGGGGGGAGAAAGACGCAGATTCCGACATAACTAGAAAGCTTCATATTAAGTTTTAATAGTTAGATTACACTCTAAGGATGAGGGATTGCAGCGTCTTGCTCACACTTAGAAGACACATTAGCAATTATGCACGAATGACAAACGTTCCATTAGTTACAATCACCAAAGATTATTGCAAATTTAATTCTTTTTTATCACTAATTCCACAGAAAATGGGCAGCTACTCCTCAGACATCTTGATTAAAACAGGGCAGGTGGCATACAAATATTTTTTATTTGTATATTTAATACAATAAAAGAGCGGAAACATGTTAATGATATGTTATTAACTACCGAGCTACTCCTTTAAGTGTATACATTAATAACTAAGGCCAATTTTTTCTCATCTAAATGTAGAGTTTTCTTCATGTTACTCTGGTGTCAGGAGCTGCAACACAAGTTATATCATCATTTATTCATGCCAGTTTGGCAGAACTCCAAGAGCCAACTCGACAACCAGTGGAGCAGTCGTGTTATCACTAAATCAGGTTTATTGGACTCCTCAGACAGTCAAGTGTCAAGTAAGTTAAATCATGCGACACACAAGTCACAAGTCCTCATCTCTGACAATCTGGCTGACTCATGTCTCAAAAGCCACATCTAATCTTTCTTTGTTGTGTCCACCATTTTCTTTTAAAACCAATCCTCTTATGTACACTAGCACACAGTTTTCAAAGGTACAAGATAACATCTTCAAGAACTTGCCACAGTTATTCTGTGGATTTAGGTTATCTCAGTCACTTCTGTCTCTTCATGCAAACCCAGACTGACTCCATGTTGAGATCAGGGCTCTGTGGGGAACAGACCATCTGCTGCAGGGCTTTCTTCTTCTTGTCGCTGGAGATGATTCTTAATGACTGTGGCTATGTATTTGGGTTCGCTGTCATGCTACACCATTAGTTTAGTTGTCATTCCTTTTTTCCTGTTGAGCCTAACTGAGTAAAACCATATATAGAAAAACAAGCATTTTCAATATCTGTTTTTTATACAAATGAAAAAAAAATCTTGAGGGACTGCGGCGCTAGGCATACATCCCATACTGCCCTGCTTGTTCTACTATTAGATGTTCTACTGAAGATCACCATCTGCTGGTGTAAGCAGATATTGAAAATATCTTTACATCCCTCAGGAGTGGATCCAACTGCAGATTTCCACAAATATCTACAAACAACCTTAAACTGTATATGGCAATGTTATCTTTTTACATTTCCAATAGTGGTTAAACAATTTTGGGAAAATATCTGATTGTCAGTGATTTAAAAAAAAAAAAGTAATAAGCTTCAATATTCACTGTGTACTAGACTTAAAGCACAGACACTGACTATCAGAAGTGTGACTGTCACACAAGGAAGACAGATCGCATTTGTAAAACCACTGACACCACAGTTTAAACCCTGCAGCCTTTGAGATTTTCAAATCATGATTTTAATTTAAAATCAATTCATTGTCTAGCTCTATATTGAACTAGAATTTGATGTAGGCACAGCAGCTATAAAAGACAACAGCTGGATTGTAATTGTCATTTCTTATACTCGTGTTTTGTTTTAAGAAAGGAAAAGAATTTAGGAATACTACCAATTAAAGGTAACTGACCAAATCACAGTAATGTGGACTTATATTGATAACAAATGAGGGGCACAAACTAGGCTACACTTTCTCAAAAATGCATACACTATCTTCTATCTTCCACGGAGGTGTTTCAGCAGAGCACTTTCAGTCACAGACTAATTCCTCCTAAATGCAGGACTGAGCGCAGCAGGAGGTCCTTCCTGCCAGCTGCCATCAGACTTTATAATGTGCAATAAAACCACATGGCTGTACAACTATGTCATGTTATGTACATTCAACACTTTATGTACATATGTTTTTAAAATCCATCTTTTGTCTTGCGGGGTTGTTTGTGTTTTGTCTTTAAATGTAGCTGCTGTAACAAGTAATTTCCTGTAAAAGGATCAATAAGGTAACTATCTATCTATTCAAGACAATGCATATAATGCCCTATGAATTTTTTTCTGCATGTTAAATTTTATAAAAATGATTCTTAATTCAACACCTTTTGTAAGGCATGTGATTGTTAAACAATGAAGTATGGTGGTATAGTCTTGAGAACCAAGTTGTAAAGACAGGGCAAAATAAATCAACATAATAGAAAGAATAACTTGAGAAGAGGAAAGTGACTGCATTTTGCTAAAAACTGATGAATAAAACAAAGTCAGCTCTGCAAGGGAGAATTTAAATGTAGAATTTTAACTTCTACAAAGCAGCTGCTCCTACTTTAGTCAGAGGTTAGTTAGCCTGACTCACTGATTGTAGATAACATTGCTTGATGACTAACTGTGGTTTAACTGTGGCACACATAATGAAAATAGTAAAAGTTAGCCTTTAAACAATATTTAAATGCCCCAAAAAATGGAAGGCGCTTCGTAAACAAGCCGTGAATGTAGGTATTCATACTGTGTGGACATGTCCAGTCTTGTATGGACATGTTGAGTTCTCAACAACTCAAGTCAAACTCCTACGGAAAGAGACGAGGGTGCTAACGCGAGCTAAAGCTGTAACACGGTCTAACCTGTCTGGAAATCGGGTATCTTCAGGTCCTCTGCCTCGTCTAACTTTTTCAAATATTGGTAGACGAGTTGCTCTTTTTCTTCTTGTGTGGTAGCGTCATCTAGGGCGTAATCCAGCTGACTTTGGATGGGAAATAGCGTAGAGAGGCTGCACTGGGACGCCATGTTTCCTGCAACAACCAGCCAGTTACGTAAACTAGCAACAGAGATTCATATCGCCGGTTTCGACACAAGAGCAAAAAAATATTATTCGATAAAACCTTTTTTTCAGATTTTAAAAAAATTCTTTCAGCTACTACAATAAAAGTTAAAAGGTTTTGTAATTTTTCTAGCCTTTAACGAGAAGAAATAAATTAATCAGGGTGGCTACATGTATAGAAAGTGCTGCTACGTTTCTCTTGTTGTTTTTACTCCATTCATTGTAGCACTGGCGGTAAGCACTGACATGTTTGTGCGGGACCAGACTGTAAGTGGAGAAGAAATTTTACTCAATATTGTAATTACTTATTAATTACAAACGGTTTTGCAGCAACGTTTACCTATAGAAAATTAAGGAATCTCCCGATAGTCGTTAGTTTACTGTAACTGGTTACCGCGGGATGTTAGCAAACACCAGTCCTTGTGTAATACCAAGACTGCTAACCGACTTGTTGGGTAACGTCGGGCACGTTTGTTTTGCTCCAAATGTCACAGAAAGACGACAGTGAAAGTGACATCTGGGAGTATAAACCTCTTGAGAAGAAAAAGAGGAGACGTGGATCGCCGAATGCAACTGTGACTAAAAGAAGATGCACCGTCAGGAAAACATCCAAAAAGATCCCAGTCAAGTCACCTGACAAGAAAATCAAAGCAGCTGAAAGTGGAGATTGTACCTCAGTTGATCATACACACGACTACGGTTGCTCGGAGGTACATAATTTAACCTCAACATCATGTCCCGCTGAGGAGACAAGCCAAAGTGACAACGCAGATGAGGGTCCATCCTCTGGAGACTTCTGTCCCATCTGTCAGATGCCATTCTTCATTCTGCTGGTGCAGACTCAACGGTGGCATGTTGCTGAATGTCTCGACACTGCCAGGGACACGTGTGAAGGTACAGACATTCATAAATATGAATCCTTCCTTTAAAAGTTACTTGTAATGCATCACAGTTAATTTATTCTGTTGTGAAAATTTCATTGTACTTCCACATCTGGATGTATATTGTAGTTTTATGAGAGCAGAAGGTACATGTTTTGATTGTACTGTGTATAAAAGCCCAACTAGAGTAAAGAGTTGAAGATGAGCATCAGCTGTGAACTCCCTAACCCTGTGAAATGAGAATAAAAATAATTTCCTGTGCAGGATCCATGCAGTCTTCGTCTCCCACACACCTACTATATTCAGCTATATCACTTTCAATGCACGACATGATGAAGACTGGTATCATTTTATACATATAAAGACATAAAACATGATCTACAGATTTCATATAGTGTAAGATGTTCTTTAAAATATTTTTGATACATAGGTTGGAATATTATTGATAATAATAAGCTCTATTTATATAGTTACAAAGTGCTTAACAGAAACAGAATAATTATAAGAACCAGTGACAGCAGTATCATGTGTGATTTCATATTTTAGTTTTATTTGCTCATTAGAGGCAGTTTTGAAATAGACTAGTAGTCAACGCAGCAGAGCCTGAGACATCCTGACTTTTATTCTGTAAGAAGAGCCAAGCTCTAAATTCCTATAACGCAGCTTGATGGCGTGTTTCATTATGCCGGGCTCGTAACATTCAGGGTGGATGGTAGCGTTCATGCAATCTGGCAGCTCCAAGAGGTTGTGTAATTTCAGGGTTCAGGGTGTGAGGGTTAAAAAGTGTGTGCACCGCTATAGCTCACCTGGTTGAGCTGGTGTCTCATGTACAGGGCTACAGTCCCGATGTGGAGGTCATGAGTTCGAATCCCGCTCATGGCCCTTTCCCACATGTCCTCCTCCCATTCTTCTCCGGGTTCTCCAGTTTCCAAAAACATGTTGAGGTTAATTGGTGATTCTAAATTGTCCGTAGGTGTGAATGTGAGTATGGTGTGCATGGTTGTCTGTCTCTAAGTGTTGCCCTGTGATAGACTGGTTACCTGTCCAGGTGAACCTGCCTTCAGTCAGCTGGGATAGACTCCAGCCCCCCACGACCCCAGTGAGGATTAAGCGGTGTATAGATGATATATGGATGGATGGATATTACAGACAGTAGATAAGATAGTCCATCTCGTGTTTTTGGCTTTTTGAGAAATGAAACTAATAAAAAAAATGAAAAAAAGAGCCTCAAAGTCTTTGAATATCTGTATATGAAAGACTTTTTATTTATCATAAGCTTGTACTTTGCTCTGACAAGCCTGAATGTTGTGTTTTTGTTCTATCTGTTCCTACAGAGTGTCCACATGGCCTTCACTGCTCCTCCACCATTCCAAACCATTACAAGAAGTTCAACCACACACTCTTGGCCCACAGTCGAGCGAACGGCGACACAGCCCTCCTCAGCGCGTCCCAGCAGGCGGGGAGCAGCGGGGACTCCTGCCTCAGTCGTCTCCCAGGACTGATAAACTACGAGGTGGACAGCTGTACTTTGGAGACTTCACAGGACAGCGCTCTCAGTCTCTCTGCCTCCTCCAGCCACAGCGTTTCCCCTCACGATATTCACACTGGAACACCTCAGTCGAAATTAGCAAATGGCCTTCTGTTACTGCGCTCTCCTGGCCCAGAGGATTTTAAGAAAAAGAAAGGCTGGCTGTCCTCAACTAAAGGCCAAAAGTCAGTCTCCTCTTCTCAAGAAAGTAAGAAAGAGCTTTCATCCACTCCTGCCAAGGAAGACAATGTAAGCATCACCAAAAGTGAACCTTCCCCTGACAACGATGATGCAATATCCTACTCTCCTATTTCGGAGTTGCCTGCAGAAACTGAAGTCAATAATAATGACTGTAGAAAAGCTCTTTTTAATAATGATGCATTAGAAAATGAGAATGAAGACTCAATGACACTGTTCAGTGACAGCTTCTCAAGTGACGATGAGCTCCTCGCTGAATTTATAGATAATAACTTGGAATCCGATAATAAGCCCGTAAATGATCCGTCCTCTTCAAACTCCCAGCTGGGTTCAATTTCCTCATTAGCACCCGCTAATCAGTTAGCTGCCTCCACAGTCGCTGAAAGCAGAGTTGATTCCTCCGGAGCGAAAGCAGCTCACAGTCAATCTAATGAAATCAGCAAGACTAGCCTTCAGTCGCCGCAGAGTATTGTTTTAGAGCGCCTCAGGGAGACTCTCCTAAGCTCGGATAACCTACATTTCCAAAACTTAAACAACAGCAGTGTTCGAACAGAGCACACAGCTTCTCCTCAACCCACTTCATCACAAACCTCCGTTATTCCAAGATCTCAAACCATGCCGCCTCAGAGGGGCCACAGCAAGGCGGGTCAGGCCTCCGGTCTCAAGCAGACGGACATCGGGGTGTTTTTCGGCCTCAAACCGCTCAAGAAGAAGGAGGAAGTGGCTGAAAGTGGACCAAGTTGCCTCAACGGTACTTCTGTTGCAACAGCTGGTGAGAACTCAGGACGGGGAAGACAAAGGAGGCAGAGAAAAAGTAGGGCCGACACAACCGCAGATGCACCACAGGCTGCAGAAAATGGTAATAGCAGCAATTTAGCGGACGGTCAAGGAGGAGCAGGGAGAGGTGGGACCAGAGGATGGAAGAGGAGGAGGTGGAACAGAGGGAGTGCTGATGGAGAAACTGAGTTACCGCGCTGTCCGTTTTATAAGAAAATTCCAGGTTAGTGGGTTAATATATATTTACACTTTTGTACTGCTGCTTCTGGTTACATGCTAGAGTTCTTTTAGTTGTCTTGGTGCAGTGACAATATAGTTGAATCTAAATCGATCTTTGTTTTGCAAACTGAGACATATGTACAATTTTCCTCAGGCACAAAGTTTACCGTTGACGCCTTCCGGTACGGAGCGATCGAGGGCATCACCGCCTACTTCCTGACACATTTCCACTCAGACCACTATGGGGGCTTGACCAAGAACTCAACGGTTCCAATCTACTGTAACAGAGTAAGTCAAGTTTTAGCCATAATTCTGCAATTTCATGTGGCAGACGCTTTTATCCAACGCAACGTACATCTAAGAGCAGATGCAACACAAGCAAGGATCTAGTGAGGAGAAAACAATCTAGATAAGTGCTATAGAACAAATTAAAGTGTGATAGATGCCAATAGCAGGCTGTGTGGGAGGTAATAGGATTTTTTTTTACATTAAAAAAAAAAAATTTTTTTTGTTTGTTTGTTTTCGGGCTGTCAAGTGCAAAGGTGTTCAGTGAAGAGCTTGGTCTTTAGTCTTTTCTTAAAGACTGAGAGGGAGTCAGCAGATTGAATAGAGTTTGGTAACTCGTTCCACCTGCGCAGAACCACAGAGGAGTCTAGCTATCGACCTCGGGCCCTGTTGCAGTGGTTGGATCCGGCGCTTTTTGTTGGTCGAGCGTAGTGATCGGGAGGGAGTGTAGATCTGAATGAGAGCGTTCAGGTAGGAGCTGTTCTCGTTGTGGTTTTGTAAGCAAGTGTCAGGGTTTTGAATTTGATGCGGGCAGCAACTGGAAGAGGGTGAAGCGATATGAACAGCAGGGTGAGATTTGCTGTTTTTGGCTGGTTGGAAAACCAGACGTGCTGCTGCGTTCTGGATCATCTGCAGAGGTTTGACCGTGGATGCGGGGAGGCCTGCCAGGAAGGAGTTGCAGTAGTCAGTGCATGATATTATTAGCTGCTGTAAAACACGAATGACTTCTGTGTTGTTTGATTGTGTTCATCAGATGTGTTTTGTTTGTTTTTGGCTGTGCATCAGGTAGCCATGTGCTAAGTTACCCCACTGTATTTTGAATTAGCAATCAGTTACTTTATTATGTTGCTTTTTTATAAATCTATGTGCACAAGACAGTGGCATTTTTGGCTTAACTATATGGCTGTTAGTGGATTTTTTTTTTTATTTGACTCCACTGCTGAAACTGTATCACACACAAACCCGAAAATTTGCTAATTCACAAAAGACTGGAACTTTGTCAGTTTTTACCAGCCCGCAGTCTTGTAATAAACAAATAGCAATTTCTGTCCAAAGGTCTGTTCATCCTCCAGCACCATGGAAGAGATTCACTTATTTGAAAGCGATACAACAAAAAGCTCCACCTGAAAAAGCTTCCCGACTGCCCTCTGCCACAGAATCCATAGAGGAGCTACCTGATCCATTTCTCACTCCATTGACTCAGAGTAATGAAAAATTAGCTCGCAGTTGGCAGCTATGAATGCAAATTTGCCACAGGACCCCCGAGTCAATTAAAATTTGAAGAAGTCAGTGAGCTTTTTGATACAGTTGTGCGGGAAAAAAACGCTTGATGTGCAGAAAATGTAGTTTCTCTACGTCTCAGGTGGTCTTTATCTTTCTGCTGCACCGATTTAAGGTGTGTAAAAGCAATTAAATAAATGTATTGAGGTATACATTTTTAATTTACATTTTTTTCTTTTAAGTGCAAATGGACAGAATTGGTTTACATTATGCCACTTTAGGTATTCTGCTTTTTCTATTTATCTTATGATTACAAACAGAAAAGACAATTTGTACGAAAGACACGGGATTTGTACGTTTTTCTGGGTCAGATTCATCACAGTGGAGTGTGTTTTCTGGGGGGATTAAAACTAAAAACAGATTTGCATGGACTTATTTGGACTCCACTGGGGTTTTGTTTACTTGGTAGGTCACAGAAAATCAGCATGGGTGCTAGATGGGTCACAGCCCAGAAAAGTTTGATCAGAAACACCCGAGGAAATCTCAAGGTCGAATTTAAAAAAAGATTTCAAAACTGTGGTGTGTTAATTATGTTACGTACAGCAACGTGATGCACCATCGTGACCAGCATTTAGTTTTTTCTTGCTTCGATATCTATATATAAGTAGACCAACAAGGTTTCTGTTGGCTGACGGCTGCTTCTCCTGATCAGATCACAGGGAACCTGGTGAAGAGCAAACTGAAGGTGGCAGAGCAGTACGTCCACATCCTCCCCATGAACACCGAGGTCACCGTGGAGGGAGTCAGGGTCATCCTCCTGGACGCCAACCAGTGAGTCACCTGTGACGTCATGTTGGATCAGCTGCTCAGCATTAGTCACGCATGTTCACACGCTTCATTGTGAGAACGCTGGACTGGCCGCTGATAGCGTGTTGATCAGAATTAGCTGTTTGATTGCTTGTAAACAGCTGGTCAAGAGGACACAGAAGAGGGACTCGATGTACCGCAGATAGCCAGACCATAAGAATATGCATTTATGTACAACTGATCCATAAATGAGCAGAGAATGAAGATTTTACTGTCATTGTTCTAATAACATTATCATAAAATTTACATTTCAAATTCAGATGGCCCCAAGCTTACAACCCATTATTGTTTCCCCTCAGGGATGCTGACGATTTTAGAGAAAGTCACTTAGCTGGTATTGAAAGTTTTTTTATTTCAACGCTGAACATTTAGTTGTAAAGGCCAAGTACATATTCAATAACTCTAATTACAATATCTTAAATGTTTCTACTTTTTTTTTTTTTTTTTTCTAATCATTTTTCCTGTATTTGAGTAAAACATCCGATCATCAGCGTCCTCAGTTATGGTTCAACTGGAGCTTTTCTTTCTCTGCTGTGTCTTCACCTTCACCTACTGTCCCTGTCTTGTCCTTTCAGTTGTCCAGGAGCTGCCATGCTGCTGTTCTTCTTACCCGACGGACAGACAGTCCTCCACACCGGAGACTTCAGAGCTGACCCCTCGATGGAGACCTACCCTGAGCTACTCGGCCGTAGGGTGCAAACGATCTACCTGGACACCACGTAAGTACCTCTCAGTGTCGTCATTTCTGAGTTGTGGTTCTCAAAAACCAAGAATCTGTGTTGGCTAAACATACAGCTTTATGTCCTTAATGTACTCAAGCAATGAGGCTTCCTGAATTTTCAGTGTTGCCTTTTTTATCCGTCTAGCTACTGCAGCCCTGAGTACACCTTCCCCAGACAGCAAGAGGTCATCAACTATGCAGCCAGCACAGCCTTCGAGTTGGTGACGCTCAACCCGCGAACACTCGTGGTGTGTGGATCCTACTCTGTGGGGAAGGAGAAAGTGTTTTTAGGTATGTATTTTTGGAAGAGGATTAAATAAACTTTTCTCCACCTTCAGGTACCCGTTTCAGTCACAGTGAGCTTTTATACTGAAGATATATATGGGTATAGAGTCGGTGTTTCTGACAATTAGGACGCTGTAATGCATTATTTAATTCTGGTAGAGCGATGTTATTGTGATGACTTGGAGTAAGACATTACTGCCAACGGAAAAACCGAAGCCGTTTCTAAACCCAATCGTGAGATAAGTGGATTTTTCTGTCGCCTTACATCACTGGATGACCTTTCCTCCCACTGAAAGGTCATCTTATATTAGGTCTGTATTGAAACAGGAGTGGAGCGGCGTGGAGGTTGTATACATTAGTCTGTTTGTGAGAGGGAAAAAAAGACCCACTTGGTACGCCTTGTCCTCATGTGGAGGCAAACCGTCCTCTGATGACACACGTGAATAATGGTTCGGTAAAGTGAAGCACTCAGAACCCAGTGTTGTATTGAGAGAAAAACAACAGGATGCATTTATTCTGTAAAAAATGAAAAAGACAGCTAATTCGGGCGACTGCAGGTTGTTTCACGAGAGCGTTTGTACACTTAGATGCTCACATTGATGCAGTATGTTCAGGTAATCTCTGCTTTTAACTGCTTCTTTATCAATGCGTTTGTAGCCTGTACAATTTGTTTTCCAGCGACGTACTACGCTGCCGCTTCTCTGTAATCCTCACATAGACCTTGTTCTGTTTCCTTCGCAGCCCTGGCAGAGGTCCTGGGCTCTAAAGTATGCCTCTCTAGAGACAAATACAACACGATGTGCTGTCTGGAGTCGGAGCAAGTCAGAGAACTTATCACCACCGACTGGAAGGCAGCCCAGGTCCACGTGCTGCCCATGATGCAGCTCTCGTTCCATGTAGGTGCAGCGCTTCTGTTTTCCATTAAATAAGCTCTTCTAAAAAAAAAAAAGAGAGAGAGAGATTCCTTACAATTTTCCCAAGTTCCCTCCATACTTCCTATTTTAGGTGCATGTTTCGAAAACATCAGTGATTAGAGATTAAAGCACCTCCATCCCATTAGACCTGCACTCTTCAGACTGTTTGTTTATTCACCGCCTGTGAGTCCATGTAGTTGGATACAGAGTGAGATGAATTTTTATTGTTGAAAAGGATTTAAAGTAATTGAGAAATGCTAATTATAATGGGTAAGGGGGGGAGTGTCTTCTAGAAGAACCGAGGCATTTAAATTTGCCATCTGTACAGCCACAGATAAATGCTGCAGTTGGTATAATTCATGCATCAGCAGGCTCAGAAGGGTTGAACTGGAGGAAGTGGGTGCAGCAGTTTAGGTTTTCATATGTGACCTGTCAGCAGAGACTAGATGAGCTGCTGTAACACTGAAATACAATATTAATGTTGAAAATTCTGTTCGCAGTAAGAGGTGGATGAGAAATAATGTCCTGCTTTCCATGTTTGGAAGATTAAGAAATACAGTCGTGACTCGATAATCTGACCTTAACAATCTGGAAACCTTGGAACCCATTAAAAACAGCCTTAACATACCGACAGCCTTGGATTCTGACCCCGACATGACATTTTATGTCACGAATAATGATCACGGCATATTATCTGACTGAACAATCCCACAGATTGGCTACGTTCAGACTGCAGGACTTAATGCTCAATGAGGATTTTTTTGTGAAATCAGATTTTTTTGCGAGTTTGTTCACATTTTCAATTAAATGCGACTTATATGTGATCTGCTGAGTGAACTTCATATGACCCAAAAGTGTCTCGCATGCGCAGAAGAGGACACGACGACGTCACACGCAGCGAGCGTGCTCAGGGTTTACCGATGGTGGAAACAGAAGTGTGAGCGCTAACTAAACTAGCATCGGCAGCCAAGTACTGCCTGTGTGTTCCAGACACTTCCACTTCGTCGGAGTGCTCCCCCAGGGTGGAAGTGTCCCCCGACCACGCCGAATATTCTGATATTCATCATTAATTGGGCCTGAATATCCAGAGACCAGAAAATGCTATTCGGACCAGCCCTACTAGTTATTATAACAACGATTAACAACAAACTACCCTTCCAGCATCAAGCCCTCCTTGTATCTCGACCTCCGTCTTCACAATCTGACAGCCTTGCTATCCGACATAAAAGAAGGTTTTACATTTAGTGTCGGATTATCGAGTCATGACTGTACAAAGCAAACAAGGAACCTGAGGTGTGGTTTAGTTTGCGTCCTAAACAGTTGGAGATAAATGGATCTAGTCAACATTTTCAAAAATCTCTTCTCTCAGCTCCCAGAGATGAAAAAAAATCCTGATTGTCCCACTTTCTTATTAACGGAAGTCCTTAAAGTGTCAGAAGCAGTCTGACTTTAAATATAAAGGTCCTTCATTAATACATGGATGAGCCCGTACTGAATGAATGAAGGGTTTTATGTGGACATCAGTGTGTCTGTGATATTTTGTGAACTGGCACCCAATACTAAGACCTCCATTAATAAGAAGTGGGACAGCCATTATGTTTTTTTTTCATCTCTGACCTCTGGCTGTATCCTTGAAGAGCACCTCATTTTGTATTTTCTCATTTTTATTCTACCACCACTTGTGTTCTTGACCCAGCGTGGAACTCTCTTATTTCCGCCTTTTTTTTTTTTTCTTTTTAAGGTCAAAATATGAAATTTTAATTCCCCATTTCTCCTTGTTTAACCTCATCCTTTGTGCAGAAGCTGCAGGATCACCTGGCACGCTTTTCACAGCAGTATGATCAGCTGGTGGCCTTCAAGCCCACAGGATGGACCTTCAGCCAGCAGGTGGAATCTGTGGAGGACATTCAGCCTCAAGTCAGCGGCAACGTCTCCATCTACGGTGAGCACAAATCATTTCCCCGATGGGTTTTAGCGTTGGAGTTTCACGACGAACTAGAGCTGCAACAATAACACTTACAGCTGTTAAAAAAAGTCTTAAAAAAGTTAAAAAGTTTTCTGCAAGGTTTAAAGTATTCAAACTGACCGAAAACAGAACCTAATAAAGCTAAATTATGTTGTTAACCCGCCTCCCGCTCAGACTTTCTCACAAAAGCAGCGTTTTTCTTGCCAAAACTGCGAACGTTGCTCTCGTCGAGTTTCGCCTTCCTTTGGCAAACGGAGCACAAGAGAAGGGCGAATCAGCAAAGCAGTGCGAGGATACACAAAAGACCGTGGCTCGCTTTCAGGTTACGTCGGCTCATTGATGCTGGAATAAATAATCGGGTGAATGCCGGGTCTTGTATCTCGATTCGCTACTGTTCAGCACTGCTGGACACGAGTCTAGCGCTAAACCTCTAGCACCGAAACGGGTCATGACTTGATTCACAATTGCAGATTTAGCCGGTTTTCCTTCCTGTAACCCCCCCTCCTCCCCCCCTTTTTTCATGTTCTGAATAGATCCATCAACAGCATCAGCCATCTGGCTTGTAACCTACAATCACCAGCGAGAGGCTTTTGCGATGCACACTCGCATATAATTTCTTCCTCCTCAGCAGTTTGTGTGTCACTCAGGCGGAAGCCAATTTGTGCTCCCTCACTCCGTGCCTTGTGTTTATCTCCTCCTCTATGCTCTTCCCAGCCATATGCTACCACCGCCATTGTTCTCTGCATGTGGGAGGACCGACTGTATACTTGTGTAGACTTAGTTTCACGTAGATCTGTTTAAAGCTGCGGAACACACCAAACTCGTGGAGAGGTTTAGTGAGACGCAGCAGCTTTCTGCAGCAGTTCTTTTTATTTCCTCTTTGAAACAGACATGTTTCAGCATTTTAAAATTTGCCTCGTCTCCCCTCAGAGGGGAACACTCGGAGCCCGGTGCTCTCTTCATCGAGCATCTGGTGCCTCTTGTCAGACTTTGCCCTGTTGCTTGTCTGACTGACTCGCCCATCATTTTAAACATCTGGGTCCATGTCAAGTTTTTCACCTCAAACCAAACCTCCTCTGTGCATCGCTAGTTCATAATGGAGAAATTAGGAATAAAAATATCAAAGCAAATGAGTTAATTGGGAAAAAAACATGGCAGGAAAGTCCCCCTGGTCCATTTCTAAAGCACTGCTGGCCTCTTTTTCCCTACAGGACATGTCTCCACAATAAATACCAAACTGAGATGATTAATTACAACCTACACTTGCAGAAACTCTGTGAGGAAAAACAAAATGTGGGTTATCTGCAGGCTTATGAATTGTTTCAGCTTGGCTGCTTTTGAATTTTTTATTTATTTTTTTGACAAACTTTTAATCCTCTGAACCCTCAAGCAGTCTGAACATTTTTGGTCACATATTCACTCACTGCGGAGCTCATTTTCACTGCAATATGAAGTCCTGCACCTCTGTGGCAGCAGCACAACTGTGGCCAGAGGTAGAGAGAAGTCAAAAATTATACAATAAGAAAACCAAAAGTTACGTTGTTGATTACACAAAAATGGTACGACATAT